TTGATTAAATTGTTAAAATTTGATGTAAAATATGAGTTATTGAGTGAAGTAAGTCTAGGTAAACTTGTTTTTGGAGTAAATGGACCCTCTTCCTCTCTCTCTCTCTCTCTCTTTCTCTCTCTCTCTCTTTCTCTCTCTCTCTCTCTCTCTATATATATATATATATATAATTAAAAATTTGAAAATCATCATAGAATGAAGCCTAAATTATTTTAATTATTTTTACCTCTACATTTGTTACGACCTGCCATGGTCCTTATACTTAGTGGAATCACACTACTAATAAAAGCTAACTAGGGAAAATATTAAAACTGGATAACTCATACATATAGGTATATATAAGAATAAAATAACTAAGTTTCTATATGCAAAATATAACATCATATATGTACATTCATCCAAAAATAATATCGTCCTAGTGCCGGTCAAGCACAAACAAAATCGTTACCCAAAATAGTAACTCTAACACGAGGACCAAACTCCTCCTCTCGCAGCAGATACCTCAACTCCAAGCTAGCCTTGACCTGCTCCCATACAAGGTATGATCATTGCAGTCCATCCGCATGGAAACAAAAGGGTAAGCTAGAGTTCAATAAACAACCATACAAGTATAGAACAATAATCTATACTACACAATCATACAACTATCAATCATGAAGTCAAACACCAGGCACTTCATCATCATAACAATCGTGCAATAGCATGCAACTCATGACAGATATCAATGCATATCAATCATCTAATGCATCGATCATCACGCATACACTTAGGAGATCTCCCTAACAGCAGAGCAGTATAAGTGACATCCCAATCCTACCGAAACCACCCCAACCGTTTTCACCCCCAATGCGCCTGCTCGGTCACAGCTAAACATGATATAAATCCTCACTCGGGTTTACTCGGATGATGTCACTTACACAATTGGAAGTCCGGTTCCACCGCCAAGTATAACACAGTTGGGTACAGGCTTACCATGACCTTGGCATGCATTACCAAGTCACTTGTGGAGTTCGCCCACTGACTATCTATAAGGAACCACGCACCTTCACCAGTACTTGGTTAAGGGAATAACCCTCGACCTCATACTTCGCTCCAACACTAGCTAAAGACTTAGAGGAGACTCAACCAAACTAGTGGCCTACCTAAGCACCACTCTCACCCAAAACCAGTGGCCTATCTAAGCACCACTCTCATTTATATCAATAGTCTATCCAAGCACCACTCTCAAGAGACTCTATGTAAGCTCTCCCAATTCGAAAATATTTCCCTCCCCTCAAGTCCTAGGCTAGACACATGTCATAAGACATCACATGCAATAATGCATCATACAACATACATGGTCAATCTACCATCATGATCAAAATCATCCTCATATGAACATATACATACATGTCATATCTTATTAAAACATTCATACATATCATCACAAAGCATACATATGAATCATACAACACTATACATCATATATCAGACATACATGATCAATTCTTCCACTTCAAACATGCATAAGCATCATTTCAAATCAATCATTCATCACATATTCATGGCCGGCGCAACCTAACCATGCCCGACCTAATCCCAACCCGAGAGTCCTAAAACTCATTCGTGCCTGGCGCGCTCAGCTCGCACCCGATGTCCTTGGAACAAAAGACTCATAAGATTATCCATGCCCGGCATGTCAACTTCGTGCCCAACACCATAACAGGCAGAGACACTACAAAAAATATGCAATTTAGCAACCACCAAAATCGGTCACTAAATTGCTAAAATCGGTCTCTATTTACCTTAGCGACGAAATTAGCGATCGAATTTAATCATTCGCTAAAACCCTGGTCGTTAAGCTGTTTAGTGGCGAAAAAATATTCGGTCGCAAAAATGGTTGCAATGATTTTGGTCGTTGATGTGTATGGGACCAAATTAGTGACCGAATAAATCGGTCACTAAATCGGTCCCTAAATATTTAAAATAATTAATTTTATCACACAACAATAAAAAAATACTGATAGTTAAGAAAATACATTTGTACTCTTCCTATTAGAAAGAGAAAGGATGTTATAATTCTTTTTTTCCTTAATATATCATATCTCTTCTATCAATTAAATTTAAATATGAAAATTTATTTAAAAATAAAGTTATCATAAGTTAGAAATATATATTATAAATATGGATCAAAATAAATAAGAAATTTTAAAAAATTCATATACTCTAATTAAAAAATGCCTAAAAATCTAATCTTAAAAAAAACCTCTAAATATTTTTTCACATAAATAACTATTGGTATTAATTATGTAGGAGTGCATATAAATATTCTTTTTATTATAAATTAATGTCTTGCTCTTACAAAAAAAGAAAATGAGAATCATACTCAACAACAATATTATCATCACTTTTAAGAAATTTATAATTTTTTTTAAGTTTTATTTAGCAACCGAATAGAATTTCGTCGCTAATGTTAACTAATATTTAGCGACCGAATTTAATTTCTTCGCTAATTTTAACTAATCTTTAGCGACCGAATTAAATTATGTCGCTAATTTTAACTAATATTTAGCGACTGAATTCAATTTTGTCACTATTTTTAACTAATATTTAGCGACCGAATAGAATTCTGTCGCTAATTTTAACTAATATTTAGCGACTGAATTCAATTTTGTCACTATTTTTAACTAATATTTAGCGACCGAATAGAATTCTGTCGCTAATTTTAACTAATATTTAGCGACCGAATTCAATTCCGTCGCTAATTTTAACTAATATTTAGTGACCGAATTCAATTTCGTCGCTAAAAACAATCAAAATTTCTTATTTAGCAACCAAATTTAATTCGGTCGCAATGTTTTTTTACAATTTAGTAGCTAGCGACCGAAATACCGACCGATTTTCTAGCGACGACTTATTTTGGTCGCTAAATCATTCGCTATTTTGATTATTCAGAATCAGTCGCTAAATAAAGAATGATAAATTTCGGTCGCTATTTTGCAATTTTCTAGTAGTGGGACCTCCAAGGGTCTCCACGCCCAGCGCATCAACCTTGCGTTCAGCGCCATCTTAGTAAAGTAACAAACAGGTGCACTATCTGATATCGCGCCCGACGTGGTTCCTCTCACGCCCGGCGCGACTAGCCGCGCGCCCGATGTGAGTTTGAAATGGTTGCCTTTGATGAATGCACGCCCAGCGCAAAGAACTGCGCCCGATGCAAATTCAAACAACAGCTTCCAAAACTTTGAAAATTTCCTTTAACACCTGAAAATCAGTAAACCCAGCCACATGCAAACATAGACACACAATGCATAGGCTCCATACAACTCAAAAACAAACTTAGATTCAACATGCATCTAGCATATGCATCAAAATGATCAAAAATCCTCATTTTTCCCTAAACCCTAAAAATGAGAAGTTTCTCCAATCCAACCATGGATTCTCAACATTCATGCATCAATCGAGTTTCTAAACTCACATGCAACCAACAACATACATACGTTCTAGCTTTCCTCACTTGAAGATTGGCTCAGAATGGCCAAGAACAGAGAAGAAATAGAATTTGCTTTCCGAAGCTCAACCCGAGAACTTCAATCCACCAAAAGTAAGCTTCCTAGCTTAAATTCCAAGAGAAGACAGGAAAGATTAGTAATCTAGGAGAGAAGAGGAACTAAACAGAGAAATTTGAGAGAGAAAGGAGCACACAGACCCATAGTCCTTCTCTCTAAAACCTCTCTCTAAGTTTCCTTGAGAATGAACTTATGAAGTTCCCTTCTCAGAGAAACCCTTAAATATCCCTCTCTCTAGAGTCAACTAAATTCTGAAATTTACTCACTACGTTACAACATTACTTTTTGTTTGGAATGAATGTTCTCATAACTGGATGAATTTTAAAAGTATCGTGTGATTAATTTAATTTTAAATATATTTTGAATCTAACTTACCGTTGGTTTCATATATAATGTAGAAATTCATTATATTAATCCAGCTTTATTAAATATAATTTAAAACTAGTTTATCAAAAATAGTATTATAAGTTAAAAAATCATTAAAAGTATTTTAATAATCTTTAATTAATTACAATCTTATAATAAAGAGTTTTCAAAATGGGCACGTTTTGTTGTACTAGTCCAAACCCGTTCGATAAATTATATTATTATAAGGTCTGAATTGTAAATTTTAAGTATGAATTAAACATAGACCTTTTAGCTTGGATCGATAAAGTTCATGTCATAAATAAGTTCAGGTGGAATTAGTTTGATTGGGTTGCAAGCTATCAATTTTTTAAAAAAATAGTATTTTATATTTTACTTATTATTGAAAAGTAAAAGAAAGAGACTATGGGTTTAAGAGTGAAAAATTTGTTAAAAATAATGTTGTACCGGAAGGACCATATCGGCCACGTGGACCGGCACGTCATGTCCTATCAGATATTGACGCAGCTCAGATAACATCTCGGCTCGGCCACGTGGATCGGCCACGTGGACCGGCATGCCATATACTATCAGATGATACTGCTCGAATACCACTTCGGTCCGACAGAGGACTAAGTGCTCTTCCCCTATCGACTCGGCCAGAAGCCGAGAGAGGACGTTTCGGCCGTGTTGTCTCGGCTCGGCCAAAAGTCAGCATCGAATAATTAGAACGATGATTATGATTAGTAAGGATAAGTACATGATTAAGACATAATCAGCCGATTAACATCGTATTACCTAATTTGGTAAATGTCAGAGAAGGCCCATGCTCAGGCCCATGTCAGGTATTATAAATAGGTCACACGTAACGAGGTATGTCACTGTTCATTTTATTACCCTAGAAAATCGTGCATATCCTGACTTGAGCGTTGGAGTGCCTTTTGCAGGTACCTCCCCCCTCTGAAGAATCCACCTATAGCTCTCGTTCGGCCCTCCTACACCCTAGAAGACTACGAGTGTACCCTCAAGCAGGTACATTTTGGCGCCCACCGTGGGGCCGAACCGAAAGCATAACAGAAACATCAAAAGTTTACGAGGAAAAGAATCATGGTAAAGACAAGGAATACTAATTTCGAAGGGCAACAGTCCGAAGAGGAGCACCAGTCCGGGGCCGAGACGGTTGAGGAGACAAACTTGACCGATATGGTACGCCAGATGAAGGAAGAAATGATCGCTATGAAACAGCAGCGAGAGAGAGATGCCGCCGAGATGGCCGCATTGAGAGAAGAGAATGCTGATCAGAAAAACCAATACCGAGACCCCACATGGAAACCATCTGAGACGACCCACACTCAGGGGTCGTTCCACTCGCACGGCCATCACACCTCCATCCCCCACACTTCTGTTGCTGCCCCAACTGCCCATGCTACGGGCAGCCGACCGATACATCCATTGCCGGTCGGAGCACATCGGCATCCCTTTACTCCAAGTGTTATGCAGACAACACTCCTTGACCATTGGAAGTCATTGCCACTCGATAAGTATGATGGTTCCACCGACCCCGACGAACATGTCGACATCTTCTTGACTCAGGTCACCCTCAGTACTACTGACGATGCTGCCTTGTGCCGAATTTTCCCAACTTTGTTAAAGGGTCGGGCATTGAGCTGGTTCACACGACTTCCGGCCAACTCAGTCGACTCCTTCAATACATTAGCATCTCAATTCACCATTCAGTTCGCCACCAGCAGGCCTCATCAGCTGACCTCGCTCTCATTGGTAAGCATAAGACAAGAAAAGAAGGAATCCCTTCGGACCTTCTTGAGCCGATTTAATAAAGAGGCTTTGTAGATCCGAGACCTCAACCCTGTTGTAGCTTTGCACCACCTTACCACCGCCTTGAAACCGGGACCTTTCGCCAACAGCATCTGTAAGAAACCCCCAACTGATATGGATGATTTGCATCGGCGCGCCGACAAATACATGCAAATGGAGGAATTAGCTGAGTTCCGTAATCAAGCACGGGCAGAGATAGCCGCCAAAGCCGATAAGCCAGCCGAGAGCAACTATCGGAGCCGTCCTAAAGAAATTTCCCGCGAAAAATCAGCACGAGGACCAAGGTATTCTCATTACACCCCATTGAACGCCAGTCAATTTGCTGTCCTAGATCAGGCACTCGCTTCAGAGGTTTTGGCAGTACCAAAATGAGCGTCAACCCCTCCACGCGCCGACACAACCAAGTCCTGCAAATATCACCGAAACCGATGTCACTCAATTGAGGATTGTGCGGCTCTTAAAGATAAAATCGAGGACTTAATCAAGCAAGGGCAGCTTCAACGTTTTGTCGATCGGCTCCGCTCTCCCAGACCTGATGGTCACCGGCATCGTGGGGAACAACATGGCTGAGAGAGATCCGATAGGCACCCTCACAGGGAACGAAGCCGGTCGAGAGACCGAAGAGAAGCCGAGCCCACAACTCAACCCCGAAGGGTCATCAATACTATTGCCGGTGGATTTGCGGGCGGAGGATCCACCTCCTCAGCACAGAAGAGACATCTACGAGCTGTCCGAACTGTCCATGCGGTTGAGTGCACCCGGCAGAGGTTGTCGGCCATCACATTCACTGAGGCTGATTTGAAGGGCATCGATCCTGATCAGGACGATCCCATGGTCATCAGCGTGGAAATCCACAACTGCATCGTTCGGAAGACATTGGTCGATCAAGGAAGTTCGGCCGATATCCTCTACTGGAATACCTTCAAGCAACTCGGCATCCCGGAAGCCGAACTGATCCCATACAATGAGCCACTAGTTGGATTTTCTGGTGAGCATGTACAAACGAAAGGATACATCAAGTTATCCACTCGTTTTTGTTCCGACGGACCCGAAGTCAAAGACATCCCGATCAAGTACGTGGTTATGCATGCTAACACGTCATATAACATTCTTCTTGGAAGACCGTCCCTCAACAAGTTAGGTGCGATTGTGTCAACCCCGCACTTAGCCATGAAATTTCCTTCTGAATCAGGCCGAATCATCACAGTACATGCAGATCAGAAAGCGGCCAGGGAATGTTATTTTGCTAGTCTCCGGTTGCCCCACCTCGGAGCAACCGAGCCGAGTCGAGAGAAACGCGTGCATTCGGTAGCCCAAGACCTCGAAACGGTTGTAGACTTCGACCCTCGAATGGATCAAGATGAGAGGGTCGAGCCGATTGAAGATCGGTACCCACTGATTATCGGGCCGACCAACCAGCATGTCACCTACCTAGGTTCCAACCTGTCCGAGACCGAAAGGCGTGAAATCGAAAATGTGGTAAAGAAAAACAAAGACCTCTTTGCATGGAGGCCGGCCGACATGCCCGGGATTGACCCTAACTTCTTATGCCATCGACTCTCAGTGTGCCAGGAGGCCAAACCGGTCGCCCAACGTAAGAGAAAAATGGGGGAAGAAAGGAAAAAGGCGGTTGAAGCCGAAACGTCTAAGCTCCTTGAAGCAGGTTTCATTCGAGAAATCCAATACACAACATGGCTGGCCAACGTTGTCATGGTCAAGAAGTCGAATGGCAAATGGCGAATGTGTACTGATTACACAGATTTGAACAAAGCCTGCCCCAAGGATGCTTATCCGTTGCCAAACATAGACCGATTGGTGGATGGTGCAGCTGGTCATAAGTTCCTAACATTCCTTGATGCATACTCGAGCTACAATCAAATTCGAATGTACCCCAGAGACGAAGACAAAACGGCATTTGTTACAGAATCTGCCAATTACTGCTACCAAGTAATGCCATTCAGCCTGAAGAATGCTGGGGCCACATATCAAAGGCTCATGGACAAGATCTTCGGCAATCAAATCGGGAGAAATATGGAAGTTTACGTGGATGATATGGTTGTCAAATCGGCTGACACACTTGCCCATGTAACCAATCTCGCCGAAGTCTTACGGGCCCTTCGGAAACATCAGATGAGACTTAATCCCGATAAGTGTGTATTCGGCGTCTCAGGCGGCAAGTTTTTAGGTTTCATGCTGTCAAGTCGGGGCATCGAGGCTAACCCGGACAAATGCCAAGCTATCATCGACATGAGGAGTCCATCGAACTTGAAAGAGGTCCAAAAGTTAGCTGGTCGACTAACAACTTTATC